TTGGCCACAATGGAAAATTTTTGTTGTTGTTGTTGAGAACAACGATTTTAGTTTCCATGTTAACACAATTACAACAAAATAATTGGGTGTAAGTTACACTGGTGTAATAAAGGGTGATCATTAAAGTGGAATTAGAAATTATTGAAAAGTGGTCAAAATCTCCTTTAAAACATTATTTTTGGAGCTTCGTGCCAATGAAAAAAATGTTCTTCATCAAATTTCAGTATAGGTTTGTGAACACAAGAAATCTGTAGTTATAGTATATAGCAACAAAATACCGGTTAAAACATGATCATACAAAAAAAAAGTGAATAATTCCGAAAATCTAAGAGTATTTACGAAAAAATACCCAAAGCTCCTTTTAAAAGTAATTTTAGGGGGTAGATCATAAAGAAAAACTTGTTCTCCATAAAATTTCGCTATAAGTCGTCAACCAACCAAAATCTCTGGCTATAGTATATAGCTTGAAAATATCGGTTACAAATTGGCTATATAACTTATCAAATAAATTTGAACTGCTTTTATGGGCATTTTTCATTAAAAGACAACAACAACCTTAAAATGTTGTTGTAGATGTTTGATCCCAATGGAAAATATTTTCCTCATAAAATTTCACTATGGGTCTTCGAACAACAAAAATTTGTAGCTATAATATATAGAAACAAACTATCATTGCAATTTGACGATATAAACCAAAAAATATATGTTGAAGGTTTTTTGGGGACACTCTCGAATAAATGCCCAAAGCTCATATTAAAAATTATTTTAGGTGGTAGGTCTTAAGGGAAAACTTGTTCCCCAGCAAATTCTACTATGGATCTCCGAACATCAAAAATCTGTAAATATAGTATATATCTTGAAAATAATGGTTACAAGTTGGCTATATAAATTTAAAAAATAATTCTTACTACTTCCATAGGCATTTTTATATAAAAGGCAATAACTTCCCTAAAACTTTGTTTTAGAAGCTTGATCGTAATAAGAGATGTGTTCCTCATAAAATTTCACTATTGGTCTTCGAACAACAAAAATCTGCAGCTATAATATATAGCAAGGAAATATCACTTGTAATTTGACGTTATAAACCAAAAAATATATATTGAAGGTTTTTTGGGGACACATTCGAAAAATGCCCGAAACTCCTCTCAAACGTTTTTCAAGGTGGTAGGTCTTAAGGGAAAATTTGTTCTCCATAAAATTCTACTATAGGTCTTCGAACATCAGAAATGTGTAAATATATGTATATAGCTCCCAAAAATCGCTTACAAGCTGGCTATATAAACTAAGAAATATTGTTTTGCGATTTTGGTGGTTATTTTCGATTGAAACCCCCCAAAAAACCATGAAGCCTTTATTTTTTGGGCTTGGAGCCCATGGAAACTATTTTCCTCATTAAATTTTACTATAGGTCGCGGAAGAAAATAAATCAGTATATATAATATATGACCACAAAAAATCGGTTACAATTTTACTATATAAAATAATAACACTGATTTTTAAAGTATTTTTGTAATTTTCGATTTGATCTCCCAAACTCCCCAAATCTTTACTCTAGAGGATTGGTCTTAAAGAAAAACTTCTTCTTCAGAAAAATTCGCTATGGGTTCCCGAACCAGAGATACCTGTATATATAGTATATAACTATGAAAAATCGGTTACAATGGACTCTATATAAACATTTTTTGTTATTTTGAATATTTTGTTCCAATAGTTCCGAAAATGGACCAAAAATTCCCATAAAAGGTTATTCTTCATTAAATTCCACAATAGCTCTCCGAACAAAAATAACCTCTAGGCGGAAGATGTCAATGAAAAAAATGTTCCTCAGAAAATTTCATTAGGGGTTGTCGACGACAAGAACTCGGTATATTTAATATATAGTAATGAAATAGCCGATTCAAAGTTATTGGACTTTATTTTGGGTATTTTTGATTTGGAGGCCAAAACTCCAACAAAAGTCTATTTTAGGGGATTGGTCCCAATAAAACAAATATTATCCATCAAATTTCACTATAGGTCTCCGAACAAAAATAATCTCAAGAGGCAATAGATATCAGTAAAATATCCCCCACAATATGACTATATCAAAGTAAAAAAAAATTTCCCTTATTTTTGGTATTTTTTGAACTGATGATGAAAACTGCGCTAAAAATCGATTTTAGGCGGAAGATGTCAATGAAAAAAGTGTTCCTCGGAAAATTGCATTAGGGGTTGCCGACCACAAGATATCGGTATATATAATATATTGTAATGAAATAGCCGATTCAATCGGAATAAATCCAGCAAATATGAAAATCAAGGATATAGGCCTTTGTTTTGGGTTTTTTTTTGATTGGGAGGCCAGAACTCCGATAAAACTCTGTTTTAGGAGATTGGTCCCAAGGAAAAAAATATTCTCCAACAAATTTCACTATAGGCCCCCGAACAAAAATTATCTCCAGCAGCAATAGATATCAATAAAATATCCTCCCAAATAGAACTATATAAATCTAAAACATATTTTGTGTTTTTCCTTTAATTTGGGTATTTTTTAATTGCTGTTGAAAACTCCGCTAAAAATCGATTTTAGGCGGAAGATGTCAATAAAAAAAGTATTCCTCAGCAAATTTCATTAGGGGTTGCCGACCACAAGATATCGGTATCTATTATATATAGTAATGAAATATCGGATTCAATCGGACTATATCCAGCAAATATGTAAAACAAAGTTATTGGCCTTTATTTTGGGTATTTTTGATTTGGAGGCCGAAACTCCAACAAAAGTCTACTTAAGAGGATTGGTCCCAAGGAAAAAAATATTCTCCACTAAATTTCCCTATTGGCTCCCGAACAAAAAACCCCTCTGAAAGCAATAGATATCAATTAAATATCCCCACAAAATGACTAACTAAATCTAAAACATATGTTTGCGGTTTTCCTTTATTTTGGGTATTTTTTTGAATTACTGTTGAAAACTTCGCTAAAAATCGATTTTAGGCAGAATATGTCAATGAAAAAAGTGGTCCTTAGAAAATTTCATTGGGGGTTGCCGACCACAAGATATCGGTATATATAATATATAATAATGAAATAGCCGATTCAATCGGACTATATATTTATTTTGGTTATTTTTGATTTGGAGGCCGAAACTCCAACAAAAGTCTACTTTAGAGGATTGGTCCCGATGAAAAAAATATTCTCCATCAAATTTCACTATATGTCTCCGAACAAAAATAGTCTCTAGCTGCAATAGATATCAATAAAATATCCTCCTAAAAAGACGATATAAATCTATGGAAAATATTTTTTTTTTATTTTTCCTTTATTTTGGGTATTTTTGAATTACTGTTGAAAACTCCGCTAAAGATCGATTTTAGGCGGAAGATGTCAATGAAAAAATATTCCTCATCAAATTCTATTAGGGATTGCCGACCACAAGATATCGGTATATATTACATATAGTAATGAAATAGCCGATTCAATCTATATCCAATAAATATGAAAATCAAAGTTATTGACCTTTATTTTGGGTATTTCTGATTTGAAGCCCAGAACTCCGATAAAACTCTATTTTAAGGGATTGGTACTAATGCAAAAAATATTCTTCATCAAATTTCACTATAGGTCTCCGAACAAAAATTATCTCTAGCAGCAATAGATAATAAAATATACTCCATAATATGACTATAAAAATCTAAAACATATTTTCTTGTTTTTCCTTTAATTTGGGTATTTTTTAATTTCTGTTGAAAACTTTCCTAAAGATCGGTTTGAGGCGGAAGATGTCAATGAAAAAAATGTTCCTCAGAAAATTCCATTAGGGATTGCCCACCACAAGAAATCAGTATTTATAATATATAGTAATGAAATATCGGATTCAATCAGACTATATTCGACAAATATGTAAGACAAAGTTATTGACTTTTATTTTGGGTATTTTTGATTTGGAGGCCCCGAACTCCTACAAAACTATATTTTAGGAGATTGGTCCCAATGAAAAAAATATTCTCCAGAAAATGTCACTATAGGCCACCGAACAAAAATAATCTCTAGAAGCGATAGATATCAATAAAATATCCCCCACAAAATGACTAGCTAAATCTAAAATATATTTTTGGGGTTTCCCTTTATTTTGGGCATTTTTGAATTTCTGTTGAAAACTTCGCTAAAAATCGATTTTAGGCGGAAGATTTCCATGGCATCTTCTTCTTCAGAAAATTTCATAAGGGGTTGTCGACGACAAGAACTCGGTATATTTAATATATAGTAATGAAATAGCGGATTCAATCGGACTATATCCAATTAATATGAAAATCAAAATTATTGGCCTTTATTTAGGGTATTTTTGATTTGAAGCCCAGAACTCCAACAAAACCATATTTTAGAGGGTTGGACCTAATGAAAAAATATTCTCCAGAAAATTTCACTACTAGTTTCAGTGCACAAAAGATCTCTAGGGGTTGCCTATACTAATAAAAAAATTAGCGCAATATGGGTCTTTAAGAAAGAAATAGGTATTTTCTTTATTTTGTTTTTTTTTCATTTAGGGCCCGAATTTTCCACCAAACTCTATTTTAGGGGGTCGACCCTAATGAAAAAAATGTTTTCCATCGGTTTTCACTAAGACTCTCAGAGCACAAGAAATCTCTAGAGGTTGCCTATACTAATAAAATAGTTAGCGCAATATGGGTCTTTAAGAAAGAAATAGGTATTTTCTTTATTTTGGATTTTTTTGACTAAGGGCCCGAATCTTCCACCAAACTCTATTTTAGCGAATTGGCCCCAATGAAAAAAATATTCTCCATCGAATTTCACTATGGGTCTCAGACCGCAAGGAATCTCTATAATGAATATTTATCAATAAAATATCAATCACAAATTATGTCCATATATTTTTCTTTCTTAAAAATTTAAAATTAATTAAAAATTAAATTTAAAATTAATTAAAAATTAAATTTAAAATTAATCAAAAATTTAAATTAATTTCTATAAGAAATTATTTTTTTCATAAAAAAATTTACCTTTTTCGATAACTGAGTAATATCCACAGGTGTAACACGATTTAAGGCCGCTAAACGTTGTAGACGTTCTCTTGCATGCTCCTCAACTGCTATGACAAATGCGTCCTGCACCGAATTGCCAATGTCCCAAGCTGAAAGAGAAAGAAGGAAAAAAATTAATAAAAACATTAATTAATTTAAAAAAAAAAATTAATATAATTATTTTTATAATTTTTTTATATATAAAGGCCTTAATTAATTTTACTAACAACCCAGTTTATATACAGACAAAATAATTACCAAGTCTTAAGTTTTAACCAACAAACTTAGCAATTTAGGTGCCATGTGAACGGTGAAAAATCTCCACAAACTGCCAACAACAATGCATTGTCGCACACTTTGTTGAAAATTTATTTAAGTATTGTTTGTAATTTATTATAATTTATATTAATTTAATGTATACATAATTATTTTATGGCTCTTTGTTGTGGCAAAGACAAACAAAAATTATCATCAACTGGAGGTTTTCAATAGAAAAAGAAAACTTGGCATTAAATTTAAAGGTTATTTTCCACGTTATATATGAGAGCTACAATTATCTTTTGTTCGGTGACTTATAGTAGAATTTCATGGAGAATATTTTTCTCCTTGATATCACCTGCCTAAAGTACCACTTCGAGGGAGATTTAGGCCCACAGTCGGGTATAAAGGCAATAATCATGGAAACCCCATTTTTAGGTATATAACCAAATTGGAACCCGCATTTCATGACTATTAACTATATATACAGAATTTCTTTGTTCGGAGACCTATAGTAAAAATCGATGCTAAACACATTTTCCATTGCGACCAACCTCATACCATGGAGTTTTGTGGGAGATTTTCGGCACTTATTCAAAAACACCCCAAAAAACTATTATCAAATTTAATTATTACCTCAATTTGTCAGATAATTTTGAACGTTATATATTATAGCTACAGTTATCTTTTGTTCGGTGACTTATCGTAGAATTTCATGGAGAATATTTTTCTAATTTATATCACCTCTCTAAGATTCCAATTTAAGGGAGATATAGACACCCAAACAAAGAAATAAGGTCAAAATCACTGAAAAAACAATTATTAGATATATAACCAAATTGGAACCCATATTTCAGGACAATGAATAATATATACATATTTTTCTTGTTCGGAGACCTATAGTAAAATTCGATGATACACCTATTTTCCATGGCGCCCAACATCATAGCATGGAGTTTTGTGGGAGATTTTCGGCATTCGATCCATAAAAGCACGCAAAAAATAAATTATTGCTTTACAAATTACAAAGCGGTATTTTATAACCGATATTTTCTTACTATATATCACACCTACAGATTTCATATAATCGGAGACCCATAGTGAAATTTAATGAGGAATATTTTTTCCTTGATAGCGGACTACTAAAATGAAGTCTTGTGGGAGATATTGGCTTCCAGTTGGAAACATATTGTCAGATATTTGAAAAATACAATTTTTTTATTGAGGGTCCAAAAAGACCCCTGAAACGAGTTCCTAGAGGGTTAATATATTTTACAATAATGTTCCCGGTAATGTTCTGAGTATGTTTGCTGAACATAGTGTGTAGCTAAAATGTAAGATATCCGTGGAATTTGAAAATAATTACATAAACCTATGTATGAGACCAGGTGGCGTATGACTATTTTTAATTAAATAAAATTAAATTTTATATGGGATATACATAGAATTTTGCTAAACTATTTGAGGATTTTATTTAAGCATTAAATAGGCTATTAGACGGTATAAAAAGAAGCTGAGTGTTGGGGGAAATTTTAACAGAATTCAAGGTAAATTAAAATGATGTAAATTTAAAGGCTATACATTGTGGACCATGTGACGTATAATTAATATTAATTGATCGACTCTAATGGGGGCAATGGGACGTATTATTAATATTCATTAATTAAACCTTAATTAAAAGACAAAAAATGTCTAAGGTCGTAATATTTTTTTTTTTTTTGCCAATAAAAGTTTAGGAGCAAAAATATTTTTTAAATACAACTTAAGATTTATATTTATTGTGGAGGAATTATTAATCAATAGTTTTGAATCCCAGAAATAGGCAAATTTTTTTTAATTGTTTATTAATTTTTAAAATTAACACCCTAATGTTAACCTGTCTTCCATTGAATTGCCATGAAATTTTTTTTTTCGAATACAAATTTTATTGACTCAAAATACCATAGATGGCTTTTAGCACTTTACTGCTAACAAACCACTTTCAATTAATCTTAAAAAATGAAAAAAAAAATCAAAACCTCGTATGTGTCATCTCACCTAGAGTCTGACATTTAATGGGGACTGTCACGAAATCACTTGACTCTTAATCCAACTTTTCAATAATCATAAAAAATCGCACACACTCAAATGAACCGCAAAATAAAAATTATGATCGGCAAGGGAATGAATAGCTTTTATTTTTTTTTTACTTCTTTGCGGAGCCGAACCTTTGACCCTGACTATTAATGGATTAATTTAAGCATTTATTTATTTATTGACTTTAATCTTAAAAAAAATGAAAAAAAAAATCAAAACCTCGTATGTGTCATCTCACCTAGAGTATCAAATGGATGACAGGGTAATTTCAAAACACACACATCGAATGCCTTACCTTTATTTTATTATATGACACACAAATGCATATACAGAATAAAAAAAATCAACTACAAAACATCCGTTTCCGTTCTCTACGCGATTATGCCACCAGAAATTGAATGGATTTTTATACACTAAAACTTAAATGTGCGGGGTGGGACACCAAAAAAACAACACCAATAACACAGAAATCTACAGGGATCAATTTTTCATAAGCAGTTACCTTTTTGACGGAAACACTCACACACACACGCACACACGTGCACACATCGAAAGCGAACTGGCAGTGAAGTGCTCTCCTGCCAATACAAATCCAATATTTGTAACACATTTCGTATTTATAGGCATTTACCGGCAATCGAAATGTATTCACATGAATAACAATACACATGTATTTGTTATGTTAATGTGAGTGCGTATGTATGTGTGTGTTTGAGTTTATATGTGTAATACATGTGCTTAATATCATGTTATATAGTTTTGTATGATAACAAAACAGATCATCAACGCCCATCATCATTGGAATATACCACGGGGGAGCTATTTAATATTGCCACCTTTTTGTTGTCGTTGTGGTTGTTGTTTTTGATATTATTGACCTCAATACAATTAGAGATTCCAGAGATATTGGGGTGGAATGGAAAATTATGTTTATGAAAAAATAACAAATAAAAAAAATATAGATTTTTCTCAAAAGATATCTTAGTATTCGAAGGATATCTGGTTATTTCTTCAATTTTAGCTAGAGGATATGTGAGGCAGTATTACTAAAAACCCTTCGAAGAATATTTTTGTAGAAGTTGCCAAACTTCTGGCTCGGCATTTAATAGGTCTATCGGACCATTTTTTCAAGTAATTAAAAAAAAAAAGAAATAGTTTCAAATTTTAGCCATTTTCTTCACCTTCTCTGCATTTTCGGGGCAAGATCTCAATGGAAAAAATATTCTTCATCGAAATTCACTATGGGCCTCCGGATACAAGAAATCTGTAGCTATACTATATAGCAATAAAATAGCGATTATAAATTTACTTTACCAGAAATTTATTATTTTCCTAAAATATTCATTTTCTGGTTCAAACTCTTCGAGTTTTTAACCGTTTGGTGAAATTTTAGAGAGTTGCTCACAATTAGAGAAATGTTCTCCAACGAATTTCACTAGGGGTCTCCGAATACAAGAAATCCCCAACTACACTATATAGTAATAAAAAATCGGTTAGAAATTGAATATATAAAAATATTCCTTGTTTCCCCTAATTATTTAGTTTTACTTCGAGTACCTTCAAATTTCTCCCGTTAGATGTTAATTTAGAGCGCTACTCGCAATGAGAGAAATGTTCCTTATCGAATTTCACTATGGTCCTCCGAACACAAGAAATCCGTAGCTAAACTACATAACAATACAACATCGGTTAAAATTTTACTATATAAAAAATCGATTATTTCCCCAAAATATTTATTTTTATTTGGAGAACCTCCAGATTTCTCCCATAAGATGCTATTTTAGGGAATTTTTCAAAATGAGTAAAATGTTCCTCGTCGAATTTCACTAGGGGTCTCTGAACAAGAGAAACCTATAACGCTATTATATAGCCATAAAATATCGGTTAGAAATTGACTATACCAAAAATCGATTATATTCCTAAAATATTTATTTTCATTTCGAGTACTTCCGGCTTTTCTCCCATTAAATATACTTTTAGAGAGTAACTCTCAGTGAGAGAAATGTTCCTTATCGAATTTCACTAGGGGTCTCCGAACAAGAGAAATCTGTAGCTCTATTTTATATAGTTATAAAATATCGATTACAAATTGACTATATAAAAAAACGATTATTTCCCTAAAATATTTATTTTCATTTCGAGCTCCTCCACATTTCTCCCATTAGTTGAAATTTTAGAGAGGTGCTCTCAATGAAAAAAATGTTCCTCATCGAATTTTACTAAGGGTCTTCAAATACAAGAAATCTCTAACTATACTACATAGTCATTAGATATCGGTTAGAAATTGACTATATAAAAAATCGATTATTTTCCTAAAATATTTATTTTTATTTCGAGCTCCTCCCGATTTTTCCCCTTAGTTGATATTTTAGAAAGTTCCTCTTAATGAGATAAATGTTCCCCGTCGGATTTCACTAGGGGTCTAAGAACAAAAGATATCTATAGCAATATTATATAGTGATAAAATATCGGTTAGAAATTGATTATATAAAAAATCGATTCTTTTCCTAAAATATTTACTTTTCATTTCGAGATCCTCCACATTTCTCCCATAAGAAGTCACTTTAGAGAGTTGCTCTCAATAAGAGAAATGTTCTCCATCGAATTTCACTAGGGGTCTTCAAATACAAGAAATCTGTAGCTATGCTATATAGCAATAAAAAATTGGCTATAGATTGGTTATATGAAAAAGTCATTATTTTCCTAAAACAGTTATTATTATTTGGAACTCCTTCAGATTTCTTCCATAAGAAGTCACTTTAGAGAGTTCCTCTTAATGAGAGAAATGTTCCTCATCGAATTTCACTATGGGTCTTCAAATACAAGAAATCTGTAACTTTACTATATAGTCATTATATATCGGTTAGAAATTGACTATATAAACAAATCGACTATTTTCCTAAAATATTTATTTTCATTTCGAGCTCCTCCCGATTTTTCCCCTTAGTTAATATTTTAGAGAGCTGCTC